CAAGGTTATAATTATCTACCCGTAACATTATCCATATAGTAATTGCCTATAGCTCAATCACTATAGGCTTCCTATAAAACGGATTTAATCGCCTCTGCACCATTCTGATATATCATACATTGGAATGGTTGATCCGAATTCTAATCCCACGCGTATGGATCGGATTGATTCCTCTTTTTTTTTTAAATTTCGTGTTTTATGTCATTTCGGCCGACACCTCCACAACAACGATGTATGTGTCGGTGTGTGTGTGTGGCCCGAAGTTTGAATACAATAAATTGCATTTATGGATTGTCAATAATGGCACTATAATTTAAAGTTGTCTTTGTCGAAAGATGACACCTTCGAGCACATAAACATTGTGCTTTGGTATCCAGTTACATCATTCTAACACACATTATTGATAGTCATTCTAACTAATTAATCAATCGACATTGCTATATAATTACCGTCGCAATAGTAATCGTGTTGGCGTGATTCAAAGACATTTAACTATTATTTCAACAATTAATATTTGTATGGATGTGTTATTCGAATACAATTCCTATGAACACGAGTTTATCACGATATCCGAATATCGTGCCAATAATATATACTATTTTGTTGGTCCATGATTCCGGTTTGCGTGCATGCAATAAACCAATGTTTTTGTTTTTCGTTTTTTGTTTTTGTTTGCCATCATTCTCCATCATCATCGGTATCACCGAATGCTACCGTGTTCATTAGTTGGACCATACATTTTGGTTTCTATCTATCTTTTTCATTGAAAATATTCAAACAAAATATGTTCAAAACGAACAAACAAACCGTTCTTAGGAATTGCACAGAAAAAAAAATTTAGATAAATTTGTCTCAATGGGCCATAAATTACATATTTGTCACTAATGTGTCCAAACATCGTACACCTTGACATTTAATTCTTCTTTCATAATGGATAAGTTCACCTCCGTTTTGTAGTTCTTTCAATAAAACCGTTTTGGGTTTTTTTTTGGCATTTGACCTAGGTCAAGAAACAAATATTTGCCGATGCGATTATATAGACTATGTACACACACACACACACAATACAGACTGTTGTATGACACATTTACTTTCCCAACGCTTTGATCGTTTATTTCTCTCTGTATTTAGCCGGATCAACTATGCCATAGTCACTTTATCATTGAAACTTTGCTTGTCATCAATAAAGTTTACCAATTAAATTCGATGCCAGTTTGTCATTTGAACAAAATAATGATGTTTGAGCTTCAAACAGGATATATTCAATTTTGGTAAATTGAAAAAAATAAAATTTGAAAAATTGATCAGCCAATCAACGATATCATTGACTTTTGGTGAATTGCATTTGAATGTTTCTGTGATTGGTGACAATTATGCCACCACACAAAAACATACAGATTCGGTTCTACCTTATATTTTTATTACTTTATGGCTATAGATAGATTGATAATGTTGATTTCTGTTGTTGACATGAATGACATTCGACATGACACTTTTGATTTCTATTTCTATTCATGAAAAATTATTTTTTATATGGAATTGCCATTTGGATTTATTAATTCTACGTGATTCGCCATACATATACGTCATATTTAAAATGAATGATCACAAACCCATGTACAAGTTTGATCATCGATTTAATCACATTGACATGATACACCGATGCTATTGAAAATGTTTTTCTGTCTTTGTCCATTTGGATTAATGTGTCCATGTTTTTGTCTGTACACTAATTTGATTTGTCATTTAGTTAGCTGTATAGAAATGTTGATTATCAACAACAAATCACACCAATGGACATTCATACTTCTATTGAGCTTATTTATTATCAAATGATAACTAATACTAATCATCCAACAGAGTAAGATTTCTTGTTCATCATCATTTTGTACTAATTATAATGGGATTCGAACAAACAAGGCATAAATAAAAAAAAAATTTTAGTTGCTCATTTCAATTCAAGTTATTATATCCCCTTAGATGTTGATGACAAGTTGAAGGCATAAAACATTTGAGAATCCTATGTTTGTGTATGTGTATATCCGTGTTCAATCTAATAACCAAACATTCTTGTCCATTGACTACTCATCTTCACTCCCAGGCTGTCAGATTCCTTTTATATCTATTTTTTTGTGTGTTTATGTGATTCATGGATTTTTGGCTCCTAACAAACTTTTTTGTTTGCCTTTGATTTTTGCTTGATGCTTATTTTTGATTGCTCCTTACAAATGAAATAGACATTGTTAGGGTTTAATGTAAGTGAGAGAATCTTATGATGATGATGATGATTATGTTGAAAACACGCAAAAACAATTTGGAACAGGTGATATTGTGCTGAGTAAATTATTTCAAGAAAAAAAGGAGTCTATCACACACACATCATCAATGTCAGTATTTATTTGACCCTATAGGCTTAGTGAATTTTTTTTCTGGTTGTTGACTTTTTGTTGATTGTTAATGATTGTTGTTTATTCACTTTGTATGCCAACTGACATATACACATACACCGACGCGCGATTAATGTAGCCATCAAGTTTGCCATCAAAAAATGAAATCATAAACGGAAAAAAATCTCATGCTATGAAGATATATGATTGGTCATGAAAAAAAAAGTTTGACATTTCAAACATCATATACACACAAACAGTGTTATGATAGGCACATGTCATACACACACACACACACACACATGAAAACATACTCTTTTCCGCCCAAAGTTGGCCCGATTTTCATCAGTCAAAGTTTTGAATGATTAAAAATTTTTTTTTTGAATAACAAGAAAAAATTCACTTTAGATCATAATCGGTTAGTTTCCTATATCTCTCTCATTCATTGGCTAATATGATTTCAAATCTCTGGAATTTGAATAGAATTTTGTTTTCCATTTTAGCATATAATGCAAGGATTCCTATATCTCTGTTGTTATTGTTGTCCTTCTGTCTATTTTGAATAGTTATTGAATTTGTACCGTAGAATTGAATTCCCGTCGAGTGAATCCATAACTACAAAGAGAACTCTATTTTTTCTCTTTTGAATGAGGAGAAAACTTAATTTAAATTCCTTGTGTGTATGATGATCATCATTTTCAACAATACACATAGAAGATGCCTGACAGAGAATATTTTGTAAAAGTATTTGTGTCCATTGTGTCTTTGTGTGTGTGTGTGTGTGTGGTTCGGTTTTTCAGATCTTTCGTAGATTCTTGGCATTGTTGGTTGTCATTGCCATCCATTTCTCATAGGCTTTTTCTTCTTTTTTTCACTTATGTCTGTGATTATGCATTTAAATTTTCATTTAATTTACCCCAAACAAAGTTAGATTCCATTGAATTGGAAATAAGTTACGATTCCATATGTTGGATGTTTGTAACAATGTCTGTATCCGTTATATGAAAAAAGGAAACAAATTCATTTTATATGAAAGATGTGTGTGTGTGTGTGTGTGAAGTAATTTCAAACCGATATTTTTGCTTCTGCATAAGTGACCATATCCAATTTGTCCTGTTTGTTCAAATTGTATTACAATTGTCTGGTTTTTCTTTTTCTTTTTTTTCCATTAACAATAGTCTTTTTTTCTCTCTCTCTCTCTCACCTGGCCACATTGTATGTATGATGTTTTTGATTCGTCATGGCCATGGCCATTGTGTATTTTGTGTGACTGTGTTTTAATTAAAAAATCTTTATTCAATTTAAACCTGTCCACTGTTTTGAATGATTATCTGAACAAAACGATGAACGATTCTCTATCTCTCATTCTCTCTCTCTCTCTCTATCTCACACAGTGGTTCGGTCAGAGTTAATTTGTTTCAAATGAGATTATTTGCCTTCATTTTCTCTCTCTCTCTCTTTTTCATACTGGTATTTGATGATGATCAACATTGATTGATGTTATTTTTTTTTTACCTTATTATCTCAATTCAATTCTTCATCGATTCACAATCAATCGAATCGACCACATTCATTGTTGGCCAATGTCATATTTATCATTTGACATTACAATCTTATACATGTGTGCACATATGAATTCTCATACATTTTTTGTTCCACCATGAAAAATGTATTGTCGGCATAATTACTCAATCACACTTGAGGCAATCACCATCTTTTCTTCTTTCTTTCTGTTTTTGTATATGTGTTTATGATGGGATGCATTCGTTCGATGATTGGATGATGCCCAAGACTGATGGCTATGGTGTTTACTCTCTATTCAAACAAAATCTTGCTTTGAGGGGGCCAATGATGTTAGCTAATAATGGCTGGCAATTGTCCTTCACATCAAGCAGATTGAATCGACCACAAAAAAAACCAGCAAACGATAGATAGATAATAAAGGTAAATGTAGCTGCAAGCACCGATCACCGATCAATCATCATTTAGCCTGATTGCTATTTAGACACTTGCTCCCATTTATATACTTTCCGTGCACCTCCATACATATGGCCGAATGTACATTGTCGATTTGATGATAATGAACCATGTGGTCCATTCGACCAGGTCATTCGCCATAGCTCGACTTTGATCAGGTCGACTAGGTCAATTCATTTGTTATGTCATTAATGGTATCAATTGTAATAAATAATTCTCACATCTCATTATATTCATTCCATTCCAAACGAGCTATTCATTCGTTATTCTTAGTCTATTGTACAATTATGACGGATGTTCCATTCATCATTCATGGAAGAGAGAGAAAGAAAAAAAAAAGAAAATTCATATTGGTATATGTCATATTCATATATTCCAATACCGGAACCATTCACTGTTAATGGCATTGAATGTCCGCTTGTTGCATCCAAGCGTACAAATGATAATTAGAGAATTGCAAATGAGTAAATGGTATAGCATTTTTAGTGTTTTTTTTCTGTTTGTTTGTTTGCATTGTTCGCTTTGATTATGAAGCATAGAGTAATTATTATAATGGGCGCATCGTTGACTTTTTAATGAATAATACATTGACTTTTTTTAATTTTGTTTTGTTTTGTTTGTTTGATTTGTACATAGATGAACATGACGATGGCAATAGGATACGAATACCATCATCATTATGTAATGGACAATCATATCCACTTGGAATGGAATCGGGTGAGATTCGTGATCATCAAATAGCAGCATCCTCGTCATATAATCTTCAATCGGTTGGACCACAGAACGCCAGGTAATTCATTCATTCATGGTGAATTTATTTGACTCTCAATATTTGTTTGTTTTTATACCAATGACTTAATTGGCCATTGGTCTTTTTTTCGGGTCCGATTTGTTTCAATCTAAATAATTAACTTTATATCTACCTTGTTGTTTTATAAAGATGACTACTGTTTTCATCATTATTATGATATTGTTGTCTCAACACAATACAATCGGTTATGTATGGTTTGTTTTGTTTAGTCATGTCATACATAATTTTACTATTCCTGATCTGATATAATGATCAAAATCATTGTAGCATTGATTCTTCCGTGATGATGATGATGATGATAATATAGTCTATTATAATGAGAAATTGTTATCTAATAATTACTATGGAATCGATCTAGCTACATTAGACCAAAGCAAAAACCACATACGGTAGTCAACACACGCACAAATTGCTGACCATCATTAGCTACCGCTATCGTCATCTTCATCATCATCGTTGATTTTGACTTTAAAACAACAGGAAAGTGAAAATTTGTTTAATAACAAGCTTGGTAACAACAATGTTTGTTTGTAATTAATTGCCGGCTGGCACATACACACACACACACACACACACAATGGTCGACGATCAAACCAAACTAACCGACCAAACTACTGTCATCAATACGATTGACCTTATGATAATGGGAATATAAACAAAAAAAAGGTCGCAACAAATGGCCATGAGAACGAAATTCATTGTCTAATGAATCTAAATTTTGTTGGTTTACCTAATGTATACCATTTATGGATTTGATTGCATCTAGAAATTTTTTTTTTTTTTTTTTTTGCTAGTCTATGGCCAACGGGCATGAATTTTTTTCTCTCATTCAGTCTTTGAAACTTTGATTTCCAGATGCCACATTTTCTCATTGCTTATATTTTTTTTCTGGTAATCGATTCGGATCATTCCTGATAACAAACAGATATTTAATTTGTATTTTTCTGTTTCTGTTTCTGAATCTGATTTAATTTTGTTTTTTTTTTTTTCTGCTTTTCAGCAAAGAAAAAAATGTTAGGCATCACTTTTTTTCTGGTACCATATGGGTGTAAACCACAAGAGTGTTGAGTTTGTTTTTTTTGTTTTCATTTTTATTTTTATGTCATTTGCAACCAATTTAATCTATTTAAGTGCACCTGAATACTCATGATGATGGTAAATTTAGAAGTTTTGAGTTTTACTTTTTTTTTGTTTACATCATTCCAATTTCTGTGTTTTTGCATGTGTCTGTTCGATCGTTGATATGAGCAATGACAACAAAAAAAAAACAAGGCAACCTCTTGCTATTATCCGATACGTAGACGACTATTGCTACCGGTGATGTTTGGATCCTATTTTCACGCACTTCTATAATTCGAACCAATCTAATTTGCATGAATATCGATTTGATAGGTATTATATGCTGCATTTTTCATTTTTCTTTTGTTCGTTCCATATGTCATAGTATGTATATTATTTTGGTTCTGGACGAATTGTTTCGTGTCTGATAGTAATGTATCTTGTTTTCTTTGATGACAATAAAAATATTTATTTATTTATTTTTTTTTCACGAGCCACGTGTCTTGAATGGTTGGTAATCTTATAAAAGTTTACCTAAGGAATATACATTTTCGTATATGATTCCAATGTCAATGTGCTGATTTACGACTACCATTGTCTCTATGTATGTGTTTTCGTGTGTTGGTTATAATCGAATATTGTCTACAAGCAACCATTATTTTAATGAAATTTTCCATTTTCGGATCCAGGTTTAATTTTTACTGTTGTTGGAACATAGACAAAAAAAAGAGGCCGATTTCTACTAGATTAAATGGCAGTTTTACGATGAGATTCAAGCCATATGGTCGCCATATATATTCTGATTATAGTTACGAAAAAAGAAAATTACTGGCTAGAATCAGCAATTCTATTCGCGAATTACAGATTCTGAATCCTATTGAAAATGAAGGTGGTAGATATCGACCCAGAATTCTTTTTTCCGTATTCCAATTAATTAATAAACATTTCACAGCGAATATATAGTATGAGCAAAAAATTTCAATTGTCTAAGATTTTCCAAGTGTCACTATGAATCTCTCTCATATATTTTTATGAATAATGATAATCTGTGAGTGGCCAATTTGTTGTGATGAGTTTGTATGTGTACGTAAAATTTTTTTGTTATTATAATAATAATGAGCTTGATACTTATGGAAGAAGTTTACTAATGAGAAACTCTTTTTCTAAATTGGACTCAAAAAAAAAAAAAAATTCCATGCCAATCATAGAATTGTTCTAGAATTATACAATATTTTGTTGTTTATATCATTATTACGACGACTAACTAAATGTTTTGTCTACTTTTTTTTCTATAGATTGAATCGTGAAATATCTGGTGGTGCTTGGTGTCCATCCAAACAATTGAGCGCATCATATTCAGGCCAAGAATGGATCCAAGTTGATTTAGAAGAACTTTATACAATTACAGCTATCGCAACACAAGGTCGATTCGGCAACGGTATGGGCGTCGAATTTGCTGAAGAATATTGGATCGAGTACTCTCGTGATAATGGTACCACTTGGAATAAGTGGACTGATATGAATGGAGATTATGTAAGTTTCAACTTATATGACATGACATTTGATCTTATTTCAATTCTGCTAAGCACTGATTCATTTATGGGCACATTGCATGTCATCATCATGATCAAATGACTGAATGCTTATTATTATGAACTATAATAAGTCTGATTGAATCATTTTAATTCTAACAAAAACAAAACAAAAAATGCACCCATCGCCTAATTGTATTGGACACGTAGTAAAAAATCAATTAGAACGCGCGGATTGATGATATTCCGTGCACTGTGAATAACGAACTTGGTTTTACATGTCTGTTTTATTTCTCAATTCATTTTCGATTAGATTTAATGCCCGGCCTCAATCTGCTATCGAGAAAAAAAATGACGAAATTGATTCCCGTTTTTTTTCTCAACATACAGACCAGATGGATTCATCTGAATCGTTGTTATTTTTTGACTGTCTCCAATTTTGTATCATTACTCACACACGCAACTATTGCATCAAAAAAATGGGCTGTAAAGCTTTTTTTTACAGCTGTAAATATTCTCATCAGGATGAATTCTTGGTGTGTCTTTTTTTTTATTTTTCATCTATTTCTATGCGTTTGTTGCTCTGTGTGTGTGTGTGTGTATGTGTCGGTGTAAGCATATTAACCTAATCCCAATATAATCCCAACTTGTAATTAGACAAAAAGACAACAGAATTCGACAGCAAATAACTGAAACAATTAGACATGTCATATATTGTATTGTACAGGATGCTCAATTTCTAGTTCACTTTGGCCTGTCAATTGGTAACAACAATTGTATTTCTTAATTAAACCTGTCGTCGTCCGTGTGTTTGTGTGTGTGTGTGTGTGTGTGTGTCGATTCTTTATTGAAACAAAATTCTACAATAATTCATATGACAGAACAGAAGCTTCTTAGTTGGATCAGTTTTTTTCCAGCTGAAAATTTATTTTCGATGCAAAAAAAAATTCAACAAAGGATTCGGTAATTAATGATGTTTTTTTTGAGCCTAAATTTTAATGCCTTTCTCGTCGCCAATTTTCTGTTGTTGTTGTTGTTGTTTGTGATGCATATTATATTCCAATTTCAACCATACACTTACACGCACGAATTTTCATCGCCAATTATAAAGTAAGCATAACAGTAGCATATAATAGTTGAAAAGAAAAACTTTAAAAGGACATTAAGCAAACACAATAAGGACCTACATATGGATGGATGGGTTGTTTTTGACTCTCGACATATTTGGCGCCTTTTGAAAACACCACACACACACACACACACAAGAATCAAACACAGCAGCCATAGACTAGAATAATAAGAATCTATAATTTTTTTTCTTTTCAAAATTTTCATTCTTTTTTTTTCTTTTCATTCTATAGTTGAAAACATTATTCTCACGAAACTTAATTCAGTTTAGTTTAGTTTAGTTTATTCAATTCAATTCTTGCATGTTCAATGTTCGTGTTTGTGTGTGTCTGTATGATGTTTTAAATGGGCGAAAAAATGTTTCTTCGCCTGGCCGAAACAATTCTCCTATGTACAATGTGTGTGTGTATTTTGTTCAGTGGTTATTCAGTGTTTATTATTATTATTATTATGATCAAATGGTTAGAATATACAAGACATGTCAAAAATTAGTAACCACAAAACAGCAAAAGCAATTATTTATTTATTTCTTTCATCGTTTTTTTCGGGTTCTTGAATTCACTTTGGTGTAAATTACAATGGAATTCAACATTTTTTTTCCCCGTTGCATTTCATCGACCATATAATACATTATTACTATTATTTGGTTGACTATACCATAATGTTTGTTGTTGTTGTTGTTGATGGTGATGTGGTTTGTAGTTGATTTTAATAATTCATCTTTAATCTATGGAATTCATTTTCTCTTGCACACAGACACTCGAACTGAATATGGCTCTCACCTAACCTATATGCTAGTTTGCTATAATTTTTCCCATTACTTTGCTGATGTTGCGATTCATTATATGTTGTTGTTGTTGTTGTTGTTTGTATTTCGTACGATCATTTTGTTCTGATTCATCATTCATTCATTTTGATGATCAATGCATTCGGCAAATTTTTTTTCTCGTCGGTTTGTGGGTTTTCTTCTTTCTCTTTCTTTACAAATGAAATATCCACAATTTTTTTTTTGATTCTGTAAACTAAATATTGACATTGGCTTCATGTCATTGATGTGTTTGTGTTTATATGGCACATCCTTTGTCCAATATGGATTCTGGTATATCATAGTATTGGGTGTTAAAATTTGATGTCTGTCTATCTTTATTTTTTGATATTTGCATAATCAAACAATGAAGTTTCCGTATGTTTCGATGTGAATCATGTTTGCATTAACCACTATAATACTAACTGATTTCTCTTTTTTTTCTCTTTTTAGAAATTGATTGGAAATCATGACACCTATACGCCTCATAAGAATATTATTCCACATCCATTGGTAGCCATCAGCCTTATTCGTATCGTACCATTTGCAAGTTATCAACGAACAACTTGTCTTCGTTTCGAGCTATATGGATGTAGACATGACAATAATGTACCTATTAGTTATTCGATTCCGGATGGATATAAAGACAGTTCTTTTGGTGATTTACGTGATTTAACATACGATGGCCGTATGGATTTTTATGGCTATCTACACGGAGGCCTTGGACAATTGATTGATGGTATCAAAGGTGATGATAATTATAAAGTCAACTATGGCTATGAATGGATTGGTTGGAAATCGGAAAATGCGGATCTATCCATGGTGTTTGAATTCAATTCGATTGTCAATTTTACTTCAGCTACATTCTATTGTCATAATCTTTTCACAAAACAGATTCAGGTACGTTAGATAGGTGGGTCATATCGTGTGATATCCATATCTAATTATTCTTTTTTTTTTTAAGGTGTTTGCCGGTGCCAAAGTATGGTTCAGCTATGATGGTCAAATTTGGTCAAAAAGGCCGATTGAATTTGAATATATGCCCGATTTGGTACTGGAAAATCCACGCGATGTTGACGTACACCTTCATTTCAAAGCTGCACGTTTCGTTAAATTTGATTTTCAATTTGGAAGCAAATGGATACTGATGTCAGAAGTGGCTTTCAATACGAATCCAATCGATGAGAATACAACATTATCGTATGAACAATTGGATTGGTCATACGATGATAATTTAATACCATTCAGTACAGCTATCAACAATGATCGAACATTATTTCCTCAGACTACCTTCTTGATCGTATTTGGCGTATTGTTTGCTGTCATCTGTTCAGTGGTCATAGTATTACTTCGATTACATTTGAGACGCAAGGAGAAAGCCGGTCATATTGTTGTCTGCATGAAGGTATGTCTATGTCTGTAGTGTACATCGTTAGTGGGTCTCTTAGCTAGCTGGCAATCCAAATCTATATTCTATAAACCCGTCAAGTTCCAAGGGGTATTCATACATATTACTACTACTGTCAATGCAATTCACACATAATAATCTAGTTGTCGAAACAAGGTCTATACCTGGATCGAATAACTTCCGACACCATTAACTGTTTAACTGTCTGTTCTCACCTGGAAAATGTAATCAGAAAAATTGCCCAAACAACAAAAAATTCTAATAATCGTAATGGACCAAACATCATGTGCCATATGGCCAAAAAAGGCTTGTTTTGGCAATCATTTTGTTTTATTCATGTGTGTGTGAGTGCTAACGCCAAACTAGTCAATAGCTAGGCCTGGTAATTATGATTAATCATTGTTTTTTTTGGATGCAATCCATAATGGCAGCTCTCTCTTTTTTTCGCATAATCATCGTACAATTCAAACATTAGGAAAAAACAAGGCCTGGTGTTGTCCAATCCAAAAAGAGATTGACCCATCTCTTCCGATGGATAGGATGGCAATCGATTTAATTTAATTAGAGCAAAGCAAGACCAATCAAGTAGACTATTTTTATGCTTTTCGGTCATCAAATAGCAAGAAAAAAAAGAAACCAGAGCTTCATGTTTACTATTAGACTATGAGCATTTGTTTTTATGTTTTCTCATTCTAAAAAACATGTATCGTCTATGGATATCTTTTTTCGTTATTGTGACCATATCATTCAAGTTTATTGTCATTGTTAAATTCAATTATAATTCTATGCTTATGATTGACGCCAAATCGAGTTTGGCCGGCTTGATCATTGGCCAAAGGATTGAGCGTCAATTGGTCGATTGTAAATTATACGCTTAGTTGCATTCTATATTTGTGTTGACATGGAAAGAAAACCGATTGCTTGTCAGCAAATAATCATAAATTCAATGTTGAGCTTAAATCAATGATCAATAATTCACAATTATAATTCAGCCGACCAATGATTAAATTCTTGTTGTCAGCGATCATTACATGGGTCAACACTTTCTCCTTGCTATCTCCTAAAATGTAGTCATAGCCTCTTAATTCTAAATTGTGAAATCCAATATAAGATCAAAACTACAGACATTGACACACACACACACACCCACCCATTAATGATGTATTATTTGTTATAACCCCTTTTCCAATGTTATGTTATCTAATTATCTGTTACAATTGTTTGATCATTGTTTTATGAATAAAATGATATGGTTTTTCATCAATTGACCATTTAATATTCTTGATTTTGATCAACTATTGTGTTCCAGACATGGCGAGATTGTTCTTTGTGTTAGGTTTTTTTGTTTCTCTTTCAATTTTGGGTCTTTGGGATTTTGGTATTCATGCTAGCTTTTACAAAAACTAACCTTATTGATTGATTGATTGGTTTATTTTTCCTTTTGCTCTAATCGGCTTCTCTTTTTTGTTTTGTTTTTTCCCTAACAAATCCTTTATTGCTGTCTGTTCTGATCTGAATATATATATCTGCTCTTCGCTTTTTCTCATCATTTGATATGAATGAAATGTCTATCTGTTTGACAAAGGATTTGGCCACAACACCTCTATATTGTGAGCCAAAAGATTTCAGCTCAACATCAAGTACGATATCGAATACGATAGCCGATCCTGAATATGCTGTACCGGATGTTGCCATTTCAAATCATCATCATCTACAACAGCAACAACATCAAAACTATCATCATATAATGTCAGCTTTATCCAATGGCTCTATTCTACCACATCAACATAACGTTGGTAATAAAAACACATCAAATGTCGGACATTTGGGTAATAATCTCAACATGTTCGGTGCAGGATTCACTCGTATCCTGATGGGAGGTCATCATCAACCAGCCAAAGATGTGAACAATGGAAAATCGACGCCAACATCATCAGCCCCTTCTACAAACATCACTGCTAACGTAGTTTATTCATCGCAACCTAAATTACAAACGAATGATAATGGCAGTTGCTACAATCTTGCCAAACAGATTCCGGCCAGTAATGTACACACTAATCATCAACATGCAATCAATTCAAAAACTTTAACCAGCAATGGTGGCCTAATTCAACGACAATTCTATGTTTCGGCCGATTTGATACCAAAATCTCCAAAGTTAGCTACCAAATCTACCTTAATACAGCCGACTTCAACAATCGATCAGTCGGTTAATGGTCGAATGACATGCAACACTATCTACAAGTAAGTGTTTTCTCTGAAAAGATTTAATTCATTTAAAAAAATTTCATTTAATTTTTAATCTTTATAGTAAAAGAAAATTGACTACAGTGAACGATGATCTTATGACAAGTAGTAGCAATACATTGAAACTAAAGTATAGTTCAAATGGTATGATAAATAGTAATGAATTCATCGAGGAAAGTATGAAATGCATACCTGAAATCGGTGAAAAACAAATCGATATCATACAAAAACAGTTGGGCTGTTCACAATATGGCCAAATCATGTTGGCTAGATTGCATAATGAATCTCATCAGCTATTGATGAATAGTAGTAGAAACGGCTACGCTAATGACTTGTCACCGGAAACGGATGCTATGAATCGTGAAACAGGAAAGAACAACGACGATAAGGATAACGGTAATGAAACGCTAGTTCTACTAAAGACACTTGAAAACGATAAACTAAGTGATTTTCTACATGAAATGAAATCAAAATGGTTTATATCGGCAAAAAGTGAACGGATTGCCAAATTGATCGGATTTTTATCATCGCCTTCGTCTCATTTAACCGCAATGATTGTCGAATGTGGTGAATATGATCTTGCTCATTTTCTTCGTAATTGTGATAAAAAATCTATTGGGTATGTATTATTAAAAAAAAGAGAAAAACAATCTGGTTTAGAAAACATTGTTGTTCAATTCCTAATGACAAACAACAAATGATGATGATGATGATGACAACCAAACAACTTCATTGCAACAATGCAACCAGATAGCTAAATTAATCAATTATTTTTTAGGTCAGTTCCGATTCTGATAGACTTGAATCGAACCGATTTGGAGGCAGTCATGAAACCATTATCATTTTTGGTGTTGATAATGATTGTGATGATGAGCATGTTGGCGCCAGCAAACCAACAAATCTTGTCCCTTAATGTTTAGGATTTTCTTCCGCCGTCTCGGATCGATTTCACTATTCTGATGTGCTATCAACAACATTAGAGCAAAATAAAAATAAAAATAAAAATAAAAAGTTCAGTTGTAGCTAGCTGTAGGAATCAGAATTTAATAGAATAGTAGCTTTTCTTTTGTAGCTAATAAATAGGCAATTGTTTGTTCCCTTGACAGTTGATCGTTGATGTTGTTTTTGTTGTCAAATGATTTTCCTTAAAATTTATTGCAGAATTTCGCGCTATTTGTTGTTCAGATGTTTGTGTTGTGTGTGTGTGTGTGATGAGTAATGACGTTTGTGTTGCGGTTCTTGAGAATGGGAAACAACTTTTGCGTTATGATGATGATGATGATTGCCCATCAGCCCGTCATTTGTCAATTTCTTACGCTACAATAAATGCATTGAATATAGCTCGGATTATGATGATGATGATGACAATCGAATGAATCCGAATGCTTGTCATCAATCTACTGTTGTTGTTGTTGTTGTCCATTCATATCGTGTATTGAATATGAATTCATTTTTTTCTCTTGTTTTGTTTTGTCTAGAATACAATCATTGTTACATATTGGAAGTGAAGTGGCAGCCGGTATGAAATATCTAGAATCATTGGGCTATGTACATCGGGATCTATCTGCAAAAAATTGTCTCATCTATGGCTATAGTCTACGAGTAAAGATTACGGATTTTGCCGCTTTGCTTAACTCGAATTCACATGAATATTGTAATGGAGTGGCACTTCGATGGATTGCACCCGAGGCATTAATCAATGGTGCTTATACAACTAAAAGTGATGTATATAGTTTTGGCGTTACATTCTGGGAGATCTTGACCTATGCATTGATAAGACCACACCATGAAATGGATGATGATGCATTCTTACAGAAATTGTTCACAGCCTATGAAAGCTATGTTAGTGATCTCAATAACGTAAGTTTTATATTCTCAATCCATAAATTTAATGTTGTGCTTGAATGAATGTCCTAATAAAACTTGATCTTTCATTTTGATTGCCATAATACAGGATTGCTCAAGCAGTTCAGTATATTATCAGGCCACTTATGCCAGTGGCAACATGATTCATAATACCGTGAATGAATCATTGGATGGAACGAATATGGATCAGCAATCAGGTGCAAATCAAGGAAAACGAAGCGGTACGACTAGAATATCATATCGATTGGCTTTACCAAGACCTACAACATGCCCTTCAGAAATCTATGATCTCATGTTGGAATGTTGGCAACTCAACGAACAGATAAGGCCATCATTCAGAGATATTACACAATTTCTCATTGCTCGAAACAATCATATCAATGGCATAGGACCGAAACAACCACAACAACAACAGCAATCCGTACAGCATCAACATCAACAACAACAACAACAACCAGCCACATCGGCTTAATCCAGTTATCTTAAGTTCTGGACTAAAAACAAGTCAATTTTTGTTTGCCATTACACTGTGATTGCCATTCCCTTTCTATTAATAATAATTGATCATGCCAAAGATGCTCAAGAAGCAATTAGTCATTTGCCTAAATGCTGACCTATCAGCTCTATGTATAAAGGATTTAATATTAAATTCTGTTTTTTTCTTTTAATTACTTTATGTAAATATTCTATATTTTCAAATAAGTGTTTGATGCTCATCAAAATTTCTTCATTCATTCAATTGTCAATGTTGGTGGCCAAATAATATGATGTAAATATGATGTTTGTAAAAAATTTATTTATTCAATTACAATAAAAAAGTTCACCAAGTCATTTCATTTCTAATCATTCATAATCTCATTTTTTTACATTTCTAAACTACAGAATATAATTCTGATCATCCAGATCCACAAAATAAATAATATGATGTAAATATGATGTTTGTAAAAAAAAATTTATTTATTCAATTACAATAAAAAAAAAGTTCACCAAGTCATTTCATTTCTAATCATTCATAAAATGTTCATGATCAACGGAAATGGTGTTCACATTTGAATCCGTTTCTATTGAACTATAATATATTAGAATTCCATATTCGAAATAACCGTAACCGTGAAGATTATTTACATTTCTAAACTGTTTGCCTATCCTGCAGGCTATTTGCCAAATTGGTTCCAAAAGCCAGATAAACTGACAATCAAATTAAAATGATGTATATATTTGCCCATTAAAGTGGTGGCCACACCATTCGAATCGGATAGAAAAAAAAATTTTGAGTTTTTTTTCATGATTGAAATGCACTCAATTCTAAAGTGTTTGAATTGCATGCATGCAATGGGCCAATACGATAGACATAATATTGTCGAATATAGTTCATTCTGACTTATCAAGTCTCATTATGATTATGATGGAGACGACGACCGTCAATTTGATCTGGATCACACAATGATGAAGACCATCGAATTTCAAGTGCAAACCATAACCATTTTGGTCACGTGTCATGAAGCATCATATCAAACTATACACGATAATGGGCTTCTGTGTTATGACGGTGGTGGTCTGTAAACAAGAATCAACCAATTCACTTGAATTTAGACAGCAAACTATCTTGGTCAATGACATGAGAAACAAAAATTTAGCTTACCTGTATGGTTAATAATGCAATTTTACCTAATAATCATAGTCGATTTGATTGATCCATGAATGTTTTAACAACATAAAGTTTTCATTTTTGATAAATGTGGACATTAATCCATTTAGACATTGCACGCTTATTCTATGATTGAACACAATCTGAATCCATCATAGAATCAGGAGAGCAGAACACTTTTGGTATCTCTTGTGTGTCTTGTATGACTCACTCATTGTCCAGCATATGTATGTAAAACCATCAGATATCTGTCACTTTTTTTTGGAATCTGTGACAACGACAACGAAAGAATGGTATGCATCAATTATCGAATAAGAATGTATCGGTTCATTCGTATATGACCAATGATCATTCAGATGGTCTGCATGGTAACCATATTAATTATGGTTTTTATTTTATATGCCTTTATCATTCTCCTTCGAGACTCGAATGAAATGGATATTTTCGAGAAACGAAAAAAAATCTTTATATCATAATGAAATAACCATAGCATCATATATGCAATGTTGAAATTGAAAACAAAATCCATCCATCTATTCATTTTTTGTTGTTGAGAATAGAAAATTGGAAACAAATTCGTCCAAAACTATTCGATATTGTTATGTTCGCATAACTCATATTTTTTATATTATTTGCATCATACACATTCACAAACAGATAGAGACCGACTACTGCTCAAATGGAACCGAACATAAGGCTAAGCTTATGGTTATTATTAGAGGCAAATCTTTGCATTGTTTGTTGTCGATGATGATGATGATGATGATGATGACTACCAGACGGCTTAGAATGCCTCTAGAGAAAATGGCATGAAAAAATGGAACGAGAATTGTAAAGAACGCCAACACCATCCGATCAATGAAGCGATGAGAACGACTGGAAATGACAGCCCCTTCAACAAAACAAAACAAAAAAAAACGGTAAGTTGCTTGTGAACTGAGGATTTTGGAATTGAAAAATTCAAAATTTTAATCTTTCCTCTCGTGTGTATATTTACTTACAAACGGATAGCATTGTTTAGCGATTCTATTTTTTTCCATTCATATTGGAATATGTTCCCCATATGTGTCTTTATGTATTGACAAACCAAAACCAAATCGTTTATGACGAAGAATTTATTTTTCAGCCGACCATTCAATCCATGACCGAGATACTACATGACAATCTTGTCAACAAAAGTTTTTTTCCATTTCAATTCTCCAATGTACCGTTTATGGAATGGTTTTAGAAACTTCGATTTCTTCATCGCAAACCGATCATCATTAGATATATAGTTTGATATCGATAAGGTCCATTTACACTCGAAATATTCGACATTTAAATTATCATCATCTATGATGACGTAGTATATTTTTATTTATGATTTACCATCAAAATGATCATTGAAATAAAAAAAAAACATACCAGAAATGAATATGTCGCGATAGCTACGCCATCTCGTATTAAGAATACAAAAAAATCCCTGAAAACTTTGCATTAAACAATAGATGGCAGCAGTGTCTTATCCGTCATAGTATGCATGAAACAGTCGTAATGATGCATGTGATGCTGCATTCGAACATCATCATCATCAAAATTGATGATGTTATGTATGTGTTTTGGCCAAACGAATAAGAAACTGGATCGATTCTCATGGGATTGCATGCCAAATGTATAACTGTGATGACTGGATTGGATCCATTCGTAACATCAGCAGCAGCAGCACGTTGGCAGATTGTAAACATTGGCCCGGCCATTATGGAACGATGATTGGATGTAAATCGTTTTCCATGGATAAGTGATTCTTTTTTCCTTTTTTTTATATGTCTGGGCGTACTGTTCAAATATCAATTTGATTTTTTGTTAACATTTGATTTCGATTTTACTATACATATACATAGAGCCCCATTCTATTTGCCTAATGGTATTCATTGATAGTTTTTTTCCGTGATTTATGTCCATGTGTTTGGTACGCTTACTATTGCATATTTGTGTTTGTGTGCGTGTGTGTTGTTGACTGACAGTCGAACCATTGATCTCATTGGAAAAATTGCAATAGAATAAAAAAGATTTGATGTGACTAGAACGAAAGAGTTGATATGTCTTGTGGCTAATATAGCCGTGCTTTATCACTCCATCTTGAACATTGCCGATTCAGACAATTCAAATTTAGATTGATGTTTTATATATTGGCCATGTTTGGAGATTAATTCCATATAATACACATACACATCATCAGGAATTTAATTTTCTTATTTAGCTTACCTTTTGCTTCTGGTGGTGGTTGCCTGTTATATGTCATTGCATTCTTGCTTGTTTGTTTTTTTTGTTGACAGCCATAAATTATCTGAATGGCCAGATAAAGTGATGCTTTTCCAACTACCCGACTTGCTTGTCTGTTACTTGACATAGCAAAAATGATTATAATGAATATTTTTTTTTCTCTTTTTGCTATCCTTGTCGCCAAGTTTATATCGGAACATCGACCCAATCCAAAGCTGAATGAGCAACAATTTAGTAATGAAGCAAACAATTTCTTATCGGCTACTTTGTTTCTTTACCGACTTGTATATATATACTAAGATTTGGTTTTGTTTTTATTTGATTGTCGTCGTCATCGTCATCGTCATCATTGTCGCAACTTGACAAAGAAAAGAACAAATCGTAAACAATGTCTTGTATTGCTGTCATTACACCTAGAATAAGAGTGTCAATCGGAAATGTTTGTTTCCCTATCACATACACATGCTCATACTGGTATGTGATTTGTAGTTTTTGTCATTCATTGGATTTGACATAATAATATCCCAATATATTTCGATCAATGAAATTATCGATATCGAACCAAATGACAAAAGATGCCGCGATTTTAGTGTCCATTGCAATGTAACAAAAATATAATATACGATACATTCGAATGGCTAGAATTAGAATCGGGAGACATCGGGTCGGGCTTATGTGATGCACAAACACGTGACATTATTTCGGTTGGATTTTGTGATAGGAAATTGAATTTGGTCTTTATTATCCTGTCGAATGAATAGTTTTTCTGGGATTGCTAGCCTAGCAAAAACTAATTTCGACTATAACCTTGCCGAGATGTCAAGTGTACCCACTGTTGTCTGATGACGGCTGACCCATTCGATATTGATGTAGGTATTGTCGAATAACCAATGATGGTACAGCAAATAATAATCCGAGCCACACGATGATGATGTGCTTGTGTTTCCTATTTCTTCGATGTAGTCATACACACGTAAGCTTTGTTGGCAAGATTAACGACAATGACTGTGATGATGATGATGATGATGAGTGCAAGATCCGGAATTATGACCCGAAAAACAGAATTCTATGAATTCTGTTTTGTTGTGTCCCATAGCATTAAAGAGGCTTATGGTTAATGACTTGCTACAATAAGTTTTTTTTCAACGAATAAATAGTGACTGATAATTCTCTATTCTAAGAAAGGCTCCAGCCTATGATGGCTGTGTAAATGGCTTGCTAAAATGGACAATTTTACTTGTATACACATATGTGCCATTTTGTTTTATGATCAATCACAATTGAAAATATCATTGATCATTGAATCGTTGATTGTGCTGAATAAAGATTGAAATCAGTTATTATTGTTTATTATATACATACATACATACATATTGTTTCTGTTGTTGTAACAATCACACCTTATTTGCATGATGATAACCGTATATAATAATTAATTAAAATGACTCCGCTACATGTGGTCATTATGTGCATACAACAATAGTATATATATAATAGTGAATATAAATCGGTTCAAAATTGATTACTATGAATAATGATTACATTGCATGTTTGTCCGTGATTGATCAACAACAACAACAAAACAACAAGAATAATCATTTCTAAAATAACATAATACACACACACTCAGTCTATAATGATCTCGATAATTATTATATGGTGACAATTTATGGTCATGCTTATTCAGAATCCAATCATGTCATTTAAATATATATATATATGGTTCTATAGTTACATTTTTTTTCGAAAGAATTGATTGACTAAGAGTTCATGCATGCATGAATGTTCTTATGTAAACTTTATTCACAAGTTTTCAATATATTTTGGAATCACAACTCCCCAATGAAATGTACAAATGTGCATGAATTCCACATATATTGTGTTTCGGTTTATTTACAGGAAAAATAGAAATAGAAGAAGAAAAAAAAAGAAATTAAAAGTTGAACCGAATCAAAAATCAAGGAAATGATGATGACATTCAAAGAATCGCTATTCAAAGAATAGTTCAGAGCAAAAATCATATCGTTACGATTTTTTTCATTTTTTTTTCTTTTCGTTATCGATATATTCACATTTATTCAATTCATCATAACAGACTTGGTTGCTGGTTGGCTGGTTGGCTGGCTGATTTCCCTTTTGGGCTCCATCATTGAATGAATGCATTCTATAATATTTTGTATTGAAATGGGTTTCGTTTTTTTCCTCTCCCTTGGATCCAATAAGCGAATGGTTATTATGATTTTCATCTCTTCATTTTCATTTATAAAATTGTACTTTTTATTCACAAGGTTTTTTTTCGTTTGATTCTTTCTTCGATAGCAGCAGCCAAAATTTAACTCATAGCTCTTGTGTTTTTTTTTCATTTTTGATTAAATCATGATGACTATAGATGATGATGATGATGATGATGATGATGATAGCATGTGTATGATACAGGAAACAATGTCGATGGCATAGAATTTCGTTTTTCATTTTTTTTCATATAAAAAAGGGAAATTTAATTGCCAATATGGTGGCAGCTACCAAAATATACGGTTGTATGCTTATATAAGATGCAATCGATGAATGAGATTAAAATTAAAAAAAAGAATATTTTCACTATCCACCTAACTACCTACCTAGCTAACGTATAGAATTTTGAAAGAATCTTTTGAATCTATAAAAAAATAGGATTCTGTCTGTCTTTATGGCTTGCCTTTTTTTGCCCATTATATCGTAGATTTTCCTCATCATCATCGACAATTGTATTGAGGTATTCACTCACTGAGTGTGTCTGTGTGAAAGAATCTACGAATTTACTTTGCAATTCTTTGCTTGTGTGTGTGGGCGCTTTTGGCTTTTGTTATTTTTTTATTATTGTTGTTGTTGTTGACGACAATGGATCGACATATTATAGCGGTTTAGTGTATAAAAAAAATAATTCAAACAAGCGCCATATTTACAAGAGATTTTCGAGTAGTATTATGGTGGAGAAAAAAAAAGATTGCATACATTTGATGCATTTTCAAAAAATTTGAGCATATTTTTAATAGGAATTGACATGGTTGAATTGATTCGGTTGGTTGGATGCCACACACACACACACCGACTGAACTAACTTGAAAATTTGAAATGAATGCCCCCCCAACTAAAGTGAGATAAGAATCAGTAGTGACATATTTTCTATGCTTGCCTGATCACAAGCTATGCATATCATTGTTTTGTAGCATCAACTATGATTCTATATGATCAACACTCAAAAACCATAATGTCTATGTGTCCGATAATGGCATGATGTACATGACAAAAAAAAATATGGGAGGGGGAGACATTAGCAATTATCAATGTCGTTACAATTATTATTATGTTTTAGATGAAGTGGCCGTTTGCCTTTGGTAAATGTTGAATTGTTACATTATTATATTTTATGATGATGATGATGATGATCATTTATATTTTGTTCCATTCCATAAAGAATGTGAATGACACGAAACTTTTCGAAGCGCACGTGTTTTGTTATTAGAATTTACTACTCACGATTGACTAACACCCGAATTTGATTATTATGTTTTCACTTTTTTTCCATAGTTTTGAATCGGTGTGAGAACATGTAACTAGTCAACAAAAAAAAACTGGCGAATAATTTGTATATAACAATAGCAGTTTCAATGTTATCGAAAATTGTTGGCCCTTGTTTCATTAATAAACAGAACAAACGTGGCCTGATCCATCATTCATCATTGGTAGATTCTATGATCAGATCAGAATCTAGCTTCAAATATTCGAAATAGAACATGCCGCAAGGGTATAATCCGTATTTGGCTTGTGTCTCAACTGACTCGTAAAATGCTTCATCGATTCTGAGCTTTGTTTAAAATGTTAGCCTATCTTCTTTCATTATTCTAGTGATTAAATTGGAAAATCCAACAGTGAGGATCATCCAAACATTTCTGGGATGAATCTGTTGTTGATTCACTTTTAAGTCTGGAACATTTTCCATATTTGGTTGATCAAAACCAAACATACTGCTGTCATAGACTGTCTTGATTCTGTCAGTCTTTAATTAGTTGTTGGAATGCACACATTTACATTTGGTGTGTGTGTGTGAACAGATTTTTCACTGTGGCTGACTCATCAGACTTATGAAAACCACATTTTATATTTGACCACCTAAGTTTGAATTCATTAATAACCCGTCGCATTCCCGGGTCTGGATTTGCTTTTGGCTGCATAAATCTGCATGAAGTCTCGCGCACACACACACCATTGACCAGTCTATTGAATCAAACAACATTTCTAGGTTATGACTATACGGTGGTCCAGACTATTGGACATTCGTAATTTGGTCAAGCCAGTTCAGCGAATTACAGAGCGACCATTCGAGCATAAATAGTTGTTCATTCATAAGATGCATAATTTATTTGAACTAAAAAAATTCTCAGATGCTGAGTATTTTTCTTTTTTTTTCGTTGGTTGATTTTTGTTCGCATCTGTTGGATAAATTTTTCTTGTCGAAAAATAAAGCTAGATCATCAATATTTAAAAATAGCTTCAGCCTATTATAGAGGCCACTCGAGAGAGAGAGAGAGAGAGAAACACAATGTTACCGTTGGTTTGTTCTGTAGTAGGTTGAATCGTACAAACACGACTTGGAACGATTCCATTTCAACGTAAAAAGTTGTAAAAAACCCGAATACAAACATTTCAGAAACCAAAAATTTCCGTCCGTTTGATTATTTATTCATTACAATCGGATCTATATATATATAACCAACCATATAGAAATCGAAATAAACAAACAAACAAAGTAACCAAGCTTCCCTGTATATTGTATACCAGGTTCTGGAATCATTTTTTCCATTTTGGATTCACTTAATTGCATTTCGATGTATTCATGTTGTTATATTATTGGATGCTTTTTGCATCGATTCCAAACTCAATTCTCCTGAATTGACATAATCGCGATCATGTCGATCGTTTTTGTTTGTCACTGTGGAAATTCGACACGTGATAACTCGTAGTGAATAAACTACGTTGTCATGTTACTATTATTTGAATCTAAATGCAATCGATTCCACGATGGCCAATGTCAATGTCGATTTGATCGATTGTTACAACAATACATCCGTTGTTGAGCAATTATATTTGCCCATTCGACCAATATTGTTGTGAATTGATATCCAATGTTTCTTATTGTTTTCAAACACAAATTTTGTTCCAAACAAAGGTTACCTTGTTGTGTTTGTGTGTTGACAAGCTCTTCATATATGCAACTGGCCCCAATCAAGTTGATCATAGCTATGGCTTCATTGAGATTCAATTTCAACCAAAACAGAATCAACTTGTCTAGTCAATAGTTTATCGTTATCGTGTATATGTCTGTGTTTGTGTTTGTTTCTAGGTTTTGTTATCTACAAAATTAGGATGTATGTTTGTCTATATGTGGATAAGCAGAGGCGAATCGATTAAAGTGTGTTTGTTAAATGATAATCTATAACATTCATTGTCGAATATAATCAATTTTGGTTTTCATTTCTAAATTTTTTCTTTCTATTCTTTTTGTTTTGTTTAGATTCATATTCGAAAACTCGTAGCAATCCATTATCAATATTCACATGTTTTTTCCCATTTGGAATTTGTTGAAGAATAATGGATGGGAATTTGTGGTTTTGGTGCTGTCAGCAAGCAATGCCATCAATTGTAAAACAAGGCCATTTCGGATGCCACACACACATACACCCGCAGTCACACCTTACACACTCTCATCTGTTTTCCTTGCATGGAGGTGTGTATTGTAAAGAAAAAAAACACACACACGCCAAATGGACTGTTTCCCATCATCATCATGATCAAAATCAACATAATGATACGACAACTATTCAATAGGATCGATGGATCGGGATTTACGGATTCGTATCCATTATAAGCAGATCAGGTTACGTGAACGTTACTAACCATCCTATTATAATATACACACACACACACAATCTTCATTCCTCTTCACCAAGTTTTGTATAGATTACATTGCTTATGTTTATTTGGTTCTCATGGATTTCTTTTTTATTTTTTTAGACTACAATTGGCCATCAATCGATCGTATAGCCACGCTTGGAAAATATCGGTCGTTTATTTGACTACCATTTTCAATTTTTAGTGATGAATCAAAATTATCGATATCGAAAATATTGGATCCTGATCGGCCAACGTAATAATGATCTGCTGCTTATGTTGCTAAACACAGTGGTGGTAGTATTTTGTCCCGAGTAGAAGCAATGCTGATTGTTACCGGGATCACTGTATCCTCACACACACACCAAAATGATTGCCGGGAAACACTGCATTCAAAAGTTGCACATTTTGTGTATAGCGCCAGTCGACGTTTGGCCATCACGTTGAACTGTACGTATGTATAACGTTTCTTTGTGAGGCCAATGATGATATTTGAATCCATGTTTAAAATTGTTTGAATTTTCAATTTCATTGAGATGATGAATACATCGTACAATTCATGACAACCCAAAACGAATTTGTATTCGATAAGACGATTTCCTAAACCCAGTGACACACCCGCCTTAGAAGAATGATGTTGCTTTCAATTATCAGCCACTTGTCAACTTGTGAACAATCAAATTTTCTTATGTGTGTAATATGTGAATCAGATTTAACGGTGACAACTATAAGAAAAAACAATAACGATCATTATTATTAGCTAAAAATGTTCAAAATGATCGATTGAATCTTATGGTGAATGTGTTTCAGAAATTTCAATGAATGTGAACATTGATTTTATTCAACAATCCTCATTTTACAACGTTTTCTTTGTGATGATAAATTGCTGGCCAATTGTTGGCAATTTATATATTTCTGTTGGTATAAATCATTGCCTTCTAACTTTGAATTTCCCTCGGTAAAACAGGTATCTATGATACATAATTCATAAACAAGACAATTAGTTATGTATGTTACACCTTGAAGATAACTATCGGCTATTGTACTGTTATGATTAATGTCAATTTTTTGCTAGGCTAAAATTTTTCAAAAAAATTGTTTAAATAACTGTAGTGAATTGAAATTTTTTTTTCGATTTACTTTTCCGAAGATTCGAGTATTCATAGAATGTTGATATTTTACTAATATCTCGTAGATTTATAGCTTCCAAAAGATCAGGAAAAAATTTGATCTTTTCATTGCACATGATCCATATGATAATGCAATATTTGGTTTAATTAAAATTATCCTTTGATTGATAAAAGAGCAGATTGTATGGCAAGAGTTTTGAATGACACTTGTGTGTGTGTGCGTTTGGCGACCAAAACACAGTGATTGAAACAATGACATCATTTTTTGATTGTAGAATATCTAAAAAAAAAGTTTGTCAATAGAAAAATGTCTACCTCCTACTGTTTATTATTTGCGCGGTTAGTTATGTACTGATCTCTTGAATGGGTTGGAATGAATAGTAGGAATAGAAAGAAAATTAATTAAATATAACTCAAAATAATAATTAGCTGCTCATCCGATTCAAATTCTTTTTTTTCCTTGCAAGTTAGCTACACACACACACACACACACAGAGAATTGACTTGATACCATTGAATAATCATGCCTTAATTGGCCATAACCATTCAAGTTATGATGCATGTCATGTCATTGAATTGAATGCATTATATATTTTTTTTTATCTCTTTACATTGACAAGTTTGCAATATTACAAATCTAGTAGTAGTAGTAGTAGTGTAATAATAGATTGAATATGAAAAATATAAACACAAAAAAAGTATCTGTCAGGGACCCGAATTATCTGGTCCGGAACACGAGAAACGAGTTTGTTGTGATGTAAAATTCTACTGGAAGCTTCATATTATAATTAGGGAACCCATCATTTTTCTCTCATCATTGCTATTTGAATATGACTATCCAATGATTGTGACGCCATGTTGTTGTTGTTGTTGTTGTATGTATACGGTGAATCGTAAGCTGATTAATGCTGTATATTCTTGGTTGTTCTTGTTTTTTTTTCTATAGTTGCAAATGCAAAATGCCAACAATATTACTATAACTAACAAATGTATCGGTTTTTTTTCTGACTAACTATAACCATGACAACCACCGTGCATTTTTACGTGTTTGTGCATTGTTTGTAGAGCTGTCATCTGGATTGAATGAGTCTTCTATCCAATTTTTTTTACATCACCCACTTTCAACATTTTTGGATTCATACTAATCATAGGTAGATTGACTGACAGTTGTATTTGGTTTGTGTATCCATGCAAAACTCAACGAGTCGTCGTCAATCATAATACACACACACACACACACTAACCGTTGTCCTCGACCATGTCAATGGTGTTTTTGAGCCACAAACTAACCAACCGAACGAGCTCAAAACAGTAATAATAAGAATTTTAAAATTCAATAACGGCTGTCGAATTTCCATCTTGTAAAAAAAATTTGGTGAACAGCTGAGTTGCTATGTCAGAACTATCTATCTATCTATACTTTCTAGATCCATTTTTGTTGTTGTTGTTTTTTTGTGTGTGGGGGGGAGGATAATTGTCGGTTTTATTCAGTCGATGCTTTGTTAAAAAAAAAGTCGTTCAGTATTAAATATTCAATAGTGAGCATGTATTTTAATGGCTCATTCTATCCATGTGTATCTAATTTAATTCATTCAAACAAATTTATAATCATCAAGCTGTAGCCTGTCAAAGTATATATTATGATCAGAAATAAGGCAAAAAGAAGCTGTTAATGGCATTCGCTTACAGTTTAACAAATCTGACAAATTCAAACAACGTTTGTCTTCATTAACTAAAATCGCTTCATCTCTATATTTGCTTTCTTCGCATTTAATTCAAGTTTTGGCTTCATCCTACTCGGTTTTTATTTTCGATGCCCCCGAAAATCTACACTTCTTTACGGTTGCACTGATTGTTTTTCCCAATTTTTTTTCCAATCGAATCATCATCAGATGAAACCAATTTTTGATTTGATTTTGATTAACTATCATTTAATAATAAAAAAATTAGTAAATGTTATTGTAAGTTTCTGTTAAAACATAGGTTTGTTTTAGTTTGATTTTGATTTGATTTTTTTCGCACCTCGGTTGTATTTATCTCTAGTTACTATTACTATTATCATTAATGCAATTGGATTTCCTCATAACATAATGTCAATTCAGTCTCTCTTTTTTTTCATTGTTCTACCCGATAAGACAATTGTTTCTCATTGACATTGTCTTTATTTTCTGTATGTGTGTGTGTGTGTGTATGTCGTTACAATGTACATGTGTGTGTTTATCCGGGAATCCATCATTCTAAGTGAATTTAGCAATTTTTGATGGAAACCATAAGAAAACCCATATATATAGTCAATATATTTTGCTTATAAATTTTTTACACATTGGAACATTTTATCTGAATTTGATTTTTAATTATTTTTAGATCTAATACGCTTCGATTAATTTTCTATCAGAATTCTATTATGGTTGATGACTGTTGCTCTTGCTTTTTTTTGTGTTTTCATAGTATATACTTTTGTTTGTGTTTGTGATGGACAGACATATCATAGCAAGGATGAAAACCATTGTCGATTGTTTGATTAACACATCAATAGACTCTAGATGTTTGTGTGTTCATCTCTATATCTATATTTTTTGGATGCCAAGTGTGTGGATAATAATTTCAAGGAAATTCAATCAATTTATCTCAATGTTCGTGTGTGTTTTGCGTGGATATTAGATAACCAAACACACAGGATCGACCACAATACTATCATTGGGGATGGATGGATGGATGGTCCAAGTTAATCGAATCGTTTTTTTTCTTCTTGGCCAGCTCACTACTATTGATTCGGGGACTCAGATGGTCTATATCGCTTTTGACCAACGCCACTTTTATTTGAGATTCATCCAAATGATGGCCAGACATATTATCTTGTTAGCTTTACCAAGAGAATTCAATTTCCACTCGACGCTTTCTGAATGAATGAATTGGTTTTCTTCTATTCGTTGTTATAATTAGATTCGATTTTGGCTTTTTCCTAAATGTTTGTTTGATATCTGTTTTCTGTGATCCAATTTCAACATTGTTCGATTCATATCTATTGATGATGATGGAACAATCATTTCATTCTATCTGAAACGGATCGACTAATAATAAACTTTGTTGTGTGTTACCGACCTTTCTATTATACTTATTTTGCAATTTGAGGATTCTCTGCACACACACACACACACACACACCTTGGATTCATCCGTTTGAATTGATCATGATATGGTTTGGTAACCATACAATACATTATTATTATAAGAGTATCCAGTCAATCAGAATCCAATTTTATACATTCGAATAGAATCAAATTTCCAATCATCGGTCATTGCATCGGACATCATCATCGATGGCCGAAATACTTGAATGAATTAAAATTGGACCCAAGATTCTTGGATAATTTTCTGGTGTGTGTGTGTGTGTGTGTTTATGAAAAATGTGGCTGCCTTTGATTGTCAAATGCACTGTTTTTGGACCAATTGTATAGTGTATTGTGCCTTACGAATTATGTCATCTGTAAATGATTCTTTCAGGGCCTTTGGTTTTTAGAAAGTTTGTTACCAAATTATCGATGATGATAATAATGATGATGACGTACATTTTGTGTGTTTGGGGTCGCGTAACTAGGCAAGAATCATTCTGACTAATGATACATACCATTTACAGTGAATGACTGGCTGCCAACAACAACGACGACAATTCGAATATGATTCTGTCATTTTGTGTATATATGGCTAGTTATAATAAACTCTATTGTTAATAATCTCATATTTCATATGTTGTTTCGCATTTATTCACTCCAAACAGCAGCCATAGCCATTCATAGTGTTAGGACGCCCAAAAACTTGGTTACTTGCTTTCGGTTGCTTGGATCGTTCGTTCACATTTGAATCAATTGTACTACCATTAATGGTTTCCTTTTTTTTCTCTCTTTTTTATATTTGTGTACATAGACTAGTTGGTAAGGTTATTCGATGTTTGTATGTGTGGACAAACCGAAAACAAATAAATGAAGTTAATATAATATGAATGGTAAGCCAAAATGAAATATAAACAAACATTTGGCCTATGTTTGGAAAAACAATTGATAAAGTTGGCATCAAAACAGATTTACAGCTCTATTCAACATCGGCACATCATGAATTCCTGAATCCATTTTTAAATTATAGTTGAGAGATATTAAGCTATTACTAATTTTACCGGTTATCAATCTGTTATTCGATAATGTATTCACATTTTTATTTTCATTCGGTCATCATGACCTTTCGATTGATCAATATCAAAGCTTGTGTGTGTTTGTGTGTGTGATGAAAAAAAAGGGCGATGACTGATTGGCCATTGCCTTCACCAATGTCCAAATCTTGGTTTTTTTAATTAGTTACTTTAGTAGTAATAGCTATAGTAAAAAAAACAACAAAAGAATCTTTGTTTCGAACATTATACACTGACCATATCTATACATTATTTTATTTTTTTGCCAACTTTGTTTCAATTCATTTATGATGGTTACATTTTGCAATGTTTTTCCGTTCAACTATAGCTTTTAATGGTCGTCATAATTAGCTTGAATAAAATGGAAGGAACTAGCCATAACCGAATTTATAATCTTTGTTTAATAATAATTGCCGTTTTTTAGTTTAACTTGCCAATAATTCCCACTTATTCGGTCATATTCGTTTTTCTCTATTGTGGTCAATCAATCGATCGTGGTCATGTTATGCATGTTATGGCGTCATGTTCAATTGCTGTGCAACTCATTTAATGAGTGTAGCTCATTTTATGTTGTTCACAAACCGATCTAAATAGCTCATTTGGATAGGCATCCTTTTGATATAGATATTGAGTTTGTCGATGTGAAAGTAAACAG